CATTACCCACTGGCTAGCACACAGGTATACAGGAAGGCTTACAAGTAAACAGAGCCATTTACAACCAATTGTCCTAGTCAATGGGAGCCATCAAGATTCTAAATCACCATTAATGGCCCACACTTTGCATAAATTATAATAGGACCTCAGAGTTATACTTCATATTTCTAGTTTTAGATTCAAGAATGATACATACATACAAATAGGATGAACACTCTCAGTAGATTATAAGCTTTGTAATGATACCAAAAGAGACCTTTTGCATAAAGCATATTCCAGTTACATCATATTTACACTTGTAAGCATATTTCCATAAAACATTATGGAGTGCAACGTCACATCCACTGTCTCAGATAGACATGTTCTGAGGAGGTTTAAATGAGAGACTAGCTAGAATGAAAATATAAAGGAGGACTGAGTAACCTGACCCACCTGGAGCTCTAGAATTGGAGCATAGTTGGCAGTACAGCATACCACTAGAATGTTCAAATTGCCCTCTTTTCCTCTAAGTAGGTTCTTTCAATTCCAAAGAAAGACTTAAAAACAGCAGCTGGGTAACTGGTGCAGCGATGCATGTTTTAGTCCAAATCTACACTAAGGAAATTCCCACTCTTATATCTACATCAATAGACTTACAGCAATGCAAACTCCTAATGCAGACTTGTTCGCCAGACTTAGGGTTTGTCAACAATGCAATCACAAAGGAGCTAGAAATATCTGAGCTAGCTTTAATCTAGTTAGTTCAAGTACCACAGCAATGATGCTGTGACAGTATGGGTCTCAGCGTGGGCCCTACAAGCCCTGCTGGAATCCTGGGTAATTATGAAGGGGGGCTAGCCCAACTCTTGATGGAATTTAGACTCCTAAGTGTCTAAATCCCTTTTGAAAATAAGATTTGGAGTCCTAAATTAGTTAGCTGTTGCAGTGCTTAATGCAACAATGCCTAAATAGCTTTAAATATGTGGGCCTTCCTCATGCCTAACCAAGCTGGGCTGTAGTCACACTAACGGCCTACAGATACCATAGAAAGCTCTATCAGTCATATTAAATCCCCTTAACCATCTAGCTCTCCTTTAAGTTTTTTCTTTATTAACAAAAAGATGAGGATGAGAAAAAGGACTGACTTTGTGACAGCAGGGGAAAGCTGGAGTGGCATCCCTCTTATGATAATGCAATTTGATCTTTCTTCTCTAGCACATTTAAAATGGTGAGTACTTTTTACTAAAGGAAGTTTATTACATGTAGAACTAAGAATGAGAAACAGTCATGGGGAGGAGGTGAAAAGCCCTCTGTGGAGAAAGAAGTGATTCGGGACTATTTAGAAAAGCTGGACAAGCACAACCCCATGGGGGACGGATGCGCTGCATCCGAGGGTGCTAAAGGATTTGGCGGATGTGATTGCAGAGCCATTAGGCCATTATCTTTGAAAACTCATGGTGATTGGGGGAAGTCCCGGATGGCTGAAAAAAGGCTAATGTAGTGCCCATCTTTAAAAAAGGGAAGAAGGAGGATCCAGGGAACTACAGGCCAGTCAGCCTCACCTCAGTCCCTGGAAAAATCATGGAGCAGGTCTTCAAGGAAACCATTTTGAAGCACTTGCAGGAGAGGAAGGTGATCAGGAACAGTCAGCATGGATTCACCAAGGGCAAGTCATGCCTGACTAACCTGATTGCCTTCTATGACGAGATAACTCTCTGTGGATATGGGGAAAGTAGTGGACCTGTTATTCCTTGACTTTAGCAAAGCTTTTGATACGGTTTCCCACAGTATTCTTGCCAGCAAGTTAAAGAAGTATGGGCTGAATGAATGGACTATCAGGCGAATAGAAAGCTGGCTAGATCGTTGGGCTCAACAGGTAGTGATCAATCGCTCCATGTCTAGTTGGCAGCCGGTATCAAGCGGAGTGCCCCAAGGGTTGGTCCTAGGGCCGTTTTTGTTCAGTATCTTCATTAATGATCTGGAGGATGGCGTGGACTGCACCCTCAGCAAGTTTGTAGATGACACTAAACTGGGAGGAGTGGTAGATACGCTGAAGGGTAGGGATAGGATACAGAGGTGAGGCCTCATCTGGAGTACTGTGTCCAGTTTTGGGCCCCACACTACAAGAAGGATGTGGAAAAATTGGAAAGAGTCCAGAGGAGGGCAACAAAAATAATTAGGGGGCTGGAGCACATGATTTATGAGGAGAGGCTGAGGAAACTGGGATTGTTTAGTCTGCAGAAAAGAAGAATGAGGGGGGATTTGATAGCTGCTTTCAACTACCTGAAAGGGGGTTCCAAAGAGGATGGATCTAAACTGTTCTCAGTGGTACCAGATGACAGAACAAGGAGTAATGGTCTCAAGTTGCAGTGGGGGAGGTTTAGGTTGGATATTAGGAAAAACTTTTTCACTAGGAGGGTGGTGAAGAACTGGAATGGGTTACCTAGGGAGGTGGTGGAATCTCCTTCCTTAGAGGTTTTTAAGGTCAGGCTTGACGAAGCCCTGGCTGGGATGATTTAGTTGGGGATTGGTCCTGCTTTGAGCAGGGAGTTGGACTAGATGACCTCCTGAGGTCCCTTCCAACCCTGATATTCTATGCTCCCCTAAATCAACACACGTCCCCAAGTCTGATTAATTATGTTGACAAATTAATCAATCTGGCAAATCCTTCTGCAAATACAGGGTGGAACCCTGGTTCTACTAGAGCCAATGGGAGTTCTGCCACTGACTTCAATGGGAGGAGGCAAGATTTCACACAAAGTATTTAATAATTCATAAACTATTTTTCATTAGATGCATTTTGTTTAACATATAACGAGAAAATCAAGGTCATTTGCATGTCATGCCCTTAGCCATGGTTGTAAGAAAGACATTCATTTTATAAACTGAATAATTTTTAATAAGCTCTTTTTATTTGTTTTTCAGAGGATATTATGAAATTAGAAGTGAAAAATTTCCAAGTGGAAAGACAAGACTCATATTGGGTATAGTCAAATTTTTCTCTGTACAGCAATACTTTTACTTTGTTTTTTTGTGTAATTTATACATACATATGCAAATTATAATATTTGTATAAAAGAAACATAATCCATGAGAAACCACATAACATTCCAAAACTGACACGTATTAAAACTATGACAGCTTGCTGAATTCCCAATATATTCTTCAACTTCTGGAAAAAACATTGTATGGTTTTATAATAGTCAATAATGCATATTAATTAAATACAGGGTTAATTCTGAGAAGAAAAAAGACGACAAAACAAAAGATATCAAATTTCATAGCACTGCACATTAAAGAGATAAGAAAAATTAAATCTAAATGCTACTATGTTACATGCTTATAACTAAAATGTTATATACCTACATAAGCATGTGTGTAAAACTATGATAAACAAACCTAATTAAAGCCTTTGGTTCTGTGAAAACAGCTAACAAAATACATGTTGCATTAAGTGCTTACAAGAAATTACACCTCTACCTCGATAGCCAAAAAATCTTACCACATTATAGGTGAAACCGCGTTATATTGAACTTGCTTTGATCCACCGGAGTGTGCAGCCCCACCCCCCTGGAGCGCTGCTTTACCGCGTTATATCCGAATTTGTGTTATATCGGGTCGCGTTATATCGAGGTAGAGGTGTATTAGTGAAGCAGGAGTTTAATCAAAGCTGTATGAATCCAAATACTTTAGGCTGCACATCACGTGTGATGCTTCTAAAATCTGTGTTGGTCATTGGTCCTGAGCCAAAATGAATGACATTTTCCCGCCTATTTAAATTAAACAACAGAAAAAAGGACAGTGTTCTAACTTCAGGGTCAATACAACACATCAGTTATGTATGAAAATTTCATTGATTAGAAATGGCCACAGAGGGGAGCTATTTCTACAAGAATGGGTTTTACTTTGTCTTGTTAGGCCTTAGTTTATGCTAAATAAGAAAGCAAGCAATAAGGAAGGAAGTTAGTTTTGGCTTAGAGGGGAAAAAAAATCCACTCTTTCTATAAAACTATTATCAATTCTATAGCTGACATTAACGTGAAGACCAGCTGTCCATATGAAGAGAAATATTTTCTTTAAAATTTGTCCAGCTTAAAATCTGCTTACATTCATTCACTATAAAATCAATTTCACAGCTGTCTGGTAATCGTTTAGACTACAAATAACCAGATTTATATCACTTTTCCTATTCTTTCCTCTGTATCATTTTGTTTCAAATCTAAGGTCATCACAAACCTAAACATTTTTTTAAAGGAAGTCAGTCACCTAATACTTCTGAACTCTTAGATCTCCTTATACAGTATTAGTCTTATATAGTGGTTTTACATATTAACATTTCCCGTTTAATCAATACAAACAGATTACATCATAGAGAATTTACCTTAAAGCTTTACTTTAAAACTATTTTCTAAGGGTCATTTTAATGGGAGTATCAACTGAGAATAGTACAGAAAAATGTCAGATATAAAGCTGTGAAATCTGTCAGCAAAATTTGACACAAAGTCCCCCACAGATCAATCCATGATCTCCATATGTGCATCAATCCCTTGGCACAACTGAGTAAAAGAGGGAGATTCAGCCATAATTCTGAATGTTCATATTTATCTGGGTTTATAAGGGATTCTGAAAGTTACATGAACTTAATATAAACATAGACAGATGAAGAAGAAAAACTTTAAAGAACAACGAGGTTAGAGACGGAAAGAGAGTGTGATCAGTGGAAGGAAGGATAGAGCAATCTAGCTAAGGCATATTTAACAAGTTCATCACAGGCATCTATAGAGTCTTTTCAGTAGTAAGGAGAACTTGACCGCCAGAAGCCGACAGCTGTCAAGAGTCCATAATACCTGGAGCTGATTGAAAAGCCGACGCTTTCATTAAAATCTCTTTGAACACGTTTTTACAATTTTTTCTTTTTTGGTAAAAAACATTTCTCAGAGAAAATGCTCCAAGCGACTCCGGTAACAGCCCTCAGAAATGAGTGAAAAGACAGGGTGAACAGCTACGCAGCTCAACAGTACCTTGGTGCAGTGCAGGGGGCTGCTCCGGCTGCAGCGTGGGGGTGTTTTGCAGGCCAGTGCCTTGGTGCAGAGAGCAGGGGGCTGCTCCCGCCGCAGCGTGGGGGTGTTTTGCAGACGCTGGGGGCAGGTACAGGCCAGGGGCAGCTCACCAGAGTTCTGTGCCTGGGAACTTTTGGGGACAACTAATTTTCTTTTGGTCACGTCAACTAAACAAGCCTGCCTGGGGGATGCCCCAGCCAGATACATGGGGAGCAGGAGTGACAGCGCTGCAGTGAGCCCCCGCCGCCCCTGGTCTGAGATGGGGGCTGAGGTGGGGGCCACCCACCCCTTTCCCGGCCTCAGGGAGGCTCCCCCAGGCGGAGGATTGGCTCCACCCCAGCACCAGCCCACCTGCTCGCCAGCTGCACTGAGAGGCTGCGGGAGCGCCGGGAAAGCAGAGAAACCCCCGCCCCTCCCCCCTCATTGGCGGACTCTTCCCTCGAGAACATCCAATCCCCAGCTAAAACCGTTCCCTTGGCAACCAGTAAACACTCCGCGGCCTAGCGGGCGCGCGTGCTGGGAGAAGCCTGCCTGGAGCCGACTCCTCTATTGACCCCCCCAAACGGAGCCCCACCTCGCCCTTCCCCCAACATGAACGGCCGGGCTAGCTTGAGCGGCAAGCCCTACAGCGCGGGGGTGCGCATCGCCAACTGGAACGAGGACACGTACTTAGAGGAGGTACCTGAGCAGCTGCCATTTCCTAGGATCCTCCCCCCTCCGGCGGGGTTTCCTTCTGTCCCCTCCCTCGCCGCCCTCTCCCCCCGTTCCGGCGGGCTGGGGGCGGCCCCGCCTTCCTTCTGCCCGCCCCGCCCGCATTTTGGGCAGCACCCTCTACCGCCCCCTCCGCCCCACGCCATAAGCAGCAGCACCGACCCCCCTTGGGTTGGGCAGCACCAACCCTAAAGCAGGCTGGCATCCTAGGGGAGGGGGCAGCCTGGTTGCTAATCCAGGGGTGGGAAGGAGACCTGGTAGCAGCTGCCCAGCTCCTTAATCCCTAGAGCGTATGGGCGCTCGCTGCCAATGGCGTCTGGGGCCATCAGGTTCATCCAACTCTGTGACTCAGGCTCTGGGAAGGGGCTAGCGCAGCAGTTCTCAAACTTGGGACGCTGCTTGTGTAGGGAAAGCCCCTGGCGGGCCGGGCCGGTTTGTTTACCTGCCGCGTCCGCAGGTCCGGCCAATCGCGCCTCCCACTGGTCGCGGTTCGCTGCTCTAGGCCAATGGGAGCTGCCGGAAGTGGCGCGGGCCGAGGGATGTGCTGGCCGCCGCTTCCAGCAGCTCCCATTGGCCTGCAGTGGCGAACCGCGGCCCGTGGGAGCCGTGATTGGCCGAACCTGCGGACGCGGCAGGTAAACAAACTGGCCCGGCCCGCCAGGGGCTTTCCCTGAACAATGACGGCCCAAGTTTGAGAATTACTGGGCTAGTGGGTCCTATGCAGGCGCTGCTGCCAGTGCAGGGGGGACCTCCTCCACTGAACCCCAGAGACTCACTCCCATTTCATTCCGGCTTGCTCCTTGTGTCGGCAGTGCGAGTGCTCACCAGGAGTTTGTACCGCTTGTACTCAGAGTGGGGCACGGGGGGACGGCTTTTGAAAGCCAGTAACAGTTCTTCTTGGAGTGCTTGCTCATGTCCATTCCATATTAGGTGCCGGAAGTTTTTCCCTCAGCAGTGTGCATAGGGGACCGGCTCTGGCATGCCCTGGAGTGGCGCCCTCATGGCGCAGTATAAGGGGTGCTGCTGGTTCCCCCCACCCTCAGTTCCTTCTTGCCGCCAGTGACGGTGCTGAAACATCTGCTGCTTTGGCTTCGTTTTCTGTTCTTGTGAACTTTGAAAACCTGTAATATAGTTGGATATAGTTAGTAGTTTTTTAGTTACCCTTAGTAGTAGTTCTCAACTTTTTGTTAGTCCCAAACGGGATTCAGCCAGGGGACGAGGCATGCCCCGGTCCCCAGGCTTTAAGCCCTGCAATCGCTGCAAAAGGCCTATGCCCGTGAGCGATCCACATACCAGCTGCCTAAGGTGCTTAGGCGAAGGGCACATAAGTGACAAGTGATATATCTGCAAGTCCTTTAAACCTAGGATGAAGAGCGCTGAAAGCGCTCCTAATGGAGTTAGCACTCACTCCGGCACAGGAGCAGCGATCTGACTCTGCACCGAGTACCGCGGCCTCCGTGCGCAGTGCTCCGCTGGTGCCGTCCATGAACCGGCACCAATCCCCCTCCACAGCTCTGGGGAAGAAGCCAAAAAAGACTGGGAGGGGAAGATCTCCTACCTCCCGTAAGAGAAAGGAAAGGGCTGGGAGTGAGCCATGACCTGTGCTGGGCAGCTCAACACCCCCTTCAGAAAGTTGGGCCCCAGTTCAAATCGAGCGGTGCAGCCCATCCCATGCTTTTCCTGCGACCCCAGGTAACGGTGCAGGCCTTAGCCAGCTTCAGGTGCCATCAATACTCAAAGCTCTTCGAGCAGCTCAAGAGATCCTGATGCTCCCCGTGCCACCCACACCGGCTCCCGTGGTACCCCCCAGTCTCGGGGAAAACCTGTGTTGGGACCTTTGCATGTCCCTGCCTCAGCGGTACCGATCCCCATCGAGAGGGACGTCCCACCAGCGTTTGCCCACCTGAAGCCATCATGCCTCAGGACTGGAGAGGCAGGCTTAGCAGAGCCCTCTTTGGTCCCTGCACTGGGAGCATCAATCAAGGGACTCGAGGTGTACCTCGCCGGTAGATAGATGCCGACCCTCTGAGGCATGCGCCACCCGTCAAGAATTCTGGGACCAGCCCCACCCGTCTCCACGGGCCCAGGACCAATCCTGGGACTGATCGGACACCAGAGACTGACGATCGCCAGGCCGTCATCGTCTGTCTCCAAGAAGGAGGTTGCCCTACTCAGAACGATCCTCCCAGCAACCGGCCTGTAGTAGCTCCCGTTCAACGTACCAGTACCGGTCAAGTAGCGTGAGCCGTGGCTCACCAGGCATCCGAAGAAGATCTGCCGAACGCCGTAGGTCCCCGAGAGCCCAACCAAGACAGTCTCACTCGGGCAGGTCGGCTTCGGGATGCAGCAACCGGCACCAGTTGGACAAGAGCCACCGCTCAGCCCAATCCTGGTTGCCTGGTACTGACCGCTCTGCTTGTAGCTCCAGCTTGGAGTGAGGTTCCCTGACTGTGGGACAAGCCCTGGTACCGGTGGTTCTGACTACATTATCAGCACAGAAACCCGTCCCAGGGCCCCAAGTGCAGTGGCCAGTACCATGGTTGCAGTACTTTAAGTACTGCACAGGATCTTTTCGGGGGAATAAGGCAAAACGCCACATTTATTAGTAATACATGTATTAATTAACACTGTATCATATGCATATGATATATATTACACTCATGCACTTACACACACACACACACACACACACACACACACACAC